AATCTTCTTTTTTCCAAACTAAACAAGCCCAGTTCATGAAGCCTGGCTTCATAGGCTTCTCTAGACCTTTAATCATTCTTGTCACTCTTCTCTGTACCCTTTCCAATTTCTCCACATCTTTCTTGAAATGTGGCGCCCAGAACTGGACACAGTACTCCAGCTGAGGCCTAACTAGTGCAGAATAGAGCGGCAGAATGACTTCACGAGTTTTGCTTACAACACACCTGTTGATACAACCTAGAATCATATTTGCTTTTTTGGCAACAGCATCACACTGTTGACTCATATTCAACTTGTGGTCCACTATGACCCCTAGATCCCTTTCCGCCATGCTCCTTCCTAGACAGTCGCTTCCCATCTTGTATGTATGGAACTGATTGTTCCTTCCTAAGTGGAGCACTTTGCATTTCTCTTTATTAAACCTCATCCTGTTTACCTCCGACCATTTCTCTAACTTGCTAAGGTCATTTTGAATTATGTCCCTATCCTCCAAAGAAGTCGCAACCCCACCCAGTTTGGTATCATCTGCAAACTTAATAATGTAGCCATCTATGACAGTAACCGATAAGCTTTTGCTTATCGGTTAATCGACTACACTATTACATCCCTATGTAGCACAGCAGAAATGTTCTTCATATAGTCTCGGAACATGGTGCCTCAGTTTCCCCTCCATGTTTCCCAAACGGGAGGAGGAAGGGGAATGAAGAAATTCTGGAGCGGGGGATGCAAGGCAACCCAACCCTCCCCCCATCAATCCATCCCCCAAGAAAGAGGCTGATCCATCTGGTACAAAAATTCTGAAAATACCATGTGCAATGTCGCTGTTTTCTGGTTTCCTGGCTCGGGCATCTGCGGGAACACTCAGCGGTGGGGAGAGGATGCAGAGTCCCGGGCAGACTTCAAAATGGCCACCTTAAAAGGGCGCCTTAAAAGGGCAAGGCCTGCTCTACTGTTAAAAGGGCAATGTTTTTTTTTTGTTTTTTGTTTTTTTTACATCCCCCTGAGTACCAGCACTGGTCCCGGAGATTAAAGGAGCCGCGACAGTTTTTTTTTTTTTCTTTTTTGCTCAACAAGTTTTGCTGCTATTTTTTTCGGAGGGGGGGAGGAAGGAGGGTTTCTCAAGAATCAAAAAGGGGGTGTGTGGCTGAAAAGTCTTGGAACCGCTGAGTCTATAGCATTAACAGATAAGCTTTTGCATAATGGTTAATCGACTACATTATTACATCCCTGTGTGGCACAACGGTAATATTCTTAATACACTCTCAGAACATGGCGTGTGCCTCAGTTTCCCCTCCATGTTACTCCACGACCAAGGCAGTGGGAGACAGGTGGGTGATCACTGCAGGAAGTGGAGGGTCCTACAGATCAGGTGTGACTGCAGTGTAGCGGCCTGGGCACGAAGACTGTCCCTGGGCCCCTCCCTCCTTTGCAAGGAGCCTGCCAAAGGGATTAGGGAACAAAAAAGGGAGGGCGAGGCCAGGTGACCTGTTTGCCCCGGGGAAGAAGACCAAGCACGGGGAGGGGCAACTGGGCGTGACCAGGCTATTTTTTTGGGACTCAGCAGAGGGAGCCCAGGGCTGGGGAGGCCCCAAGCGGAACGGGGCAGAATAGACCTGATTTCGGCGCTGACAAGACCTCTCCCCCCCCTTCTGTTTTCCCAGCCGGCCCAGTCACGCCAGGGCTGCCGAAGTGGGAGCCTGGCCCCTGGGAGGGGCGTGGGAGGCTTCCCCGGGGGTCCCAACCACGTTGACTCCCTGCCGTGGGGAGAAGGAGCCCCAAGGGGACACCCCCCACACTCACGTTTTGCCGGGCTCCATTCAGAGCGGGCCCAGGGCACCGCACCTGGGACTCTGTGGCCCAGGCCTGTCGGACACCCCCGTGTCCTGTCCAAGCGCCGGTTGCCTCCGCTAGCAGGTGAATGGAAAAGGAGGGACCATGTCAGGTGTCACGGAGGTGTGGGGGAGTCACTGAGCCCTGCACCCCCATCCTCAGCCAGACGTGCCCCTCAGGCAGCAGGGCTATTGGTTCGCAGCAGAGCACAGACGTGTTAGCACAGGAAGCAGGAGCCGTCAGCACCATCCATGTTGGGGAGAAGCTG